TTTCCAAGAAAATAAACCAAACACCCACTAATGTTCTAGTAAACTAAGGTAAAAGAGTATGCGGCATAGCGGGGAAAAAAAATGGGGATGATAGAATTGTTAGTGGCTTGATGATTTGAGTAGAGTTTGAGTCTTTGGAAGTTACCAACAAATTTAAAACTTTTTAAATTTTTTGAAACAAAATTAGCACAACAAGCCGACATGCACCTGGAGGAAGATTAAGGGTGAACTTGTTATTCAATTGTGAGCGAAATTAATCGAGAATGGAGAAAGATTTTAACAAGCCTGGGATTGAGAAAGGTGAAGGAGAGTATGCATGAGAATTGTTTGGCAGGGAGGAAAGGTTGGGCTAAATTGAAACGAATTGTTCAGTTAAAGGACGTCTTGATAATTTTTTTTTGTCAAGACCATCTGAATTTTCCTTTTTTTTTTTTTTTTTTTTTTTGTTTTTCCATTGACCAAATAGTACTATTCTCTTAGCATGGTAAGTTTTTTTTTTATTTATTTATCTTGATTGCATAATAAGAGATAAATATCTCTCATTTTTTATTCCACTCTACCTGCATACTATGCTACTCGAATTCAAGATTTCATACTTGTAACAAATGAGATAACCACTAAATTGTTTAAGTCATTAACCTTAACATGGTAAGTATTCTAATACATTTTATATGTAAGCAGATAAGATAGTCCTTTCATACAATGGTCAAATTAGGAATAAAAATTAAATCCAAGCATCATATGGTACTAGTGGAAAAGCAAACATGGAAAATGTTTGCTTTCTATTTACCAAATGGATGCTGAATGCTGATATGATATTTTTTTTTTAGTATATCATAAAGTTAGCTACTTAGTATCATATAATTTTGACTTTCTAATCATGATATTAAATTAAAATGTTTAAATAAGTAAACATCACTAAATCAAGTTCTTATTGGTATACTGATATAATATGACCCATGCACAAGCACAGCGGTGGAGCTCAAACTTGTTGGGCTGGCATTCGCGATTCGGCATGCCACGCTGCAGGGTCGGGAGGTTGCTGTTTACTAATGGGCTAGCATTTAGGAGTTAGACTGGGCTTTGAGTACCTGGAATTTGGATGTGTGACCATTGGGTTTGGTTTCATCCCTTCTCCACCCCCCCCCCCCCCCCCATCCCTTCTCCACCCCCCCACCTCCACCCCCACAACCCCTTTTTTTTTCCTTGTGTTGCTGTGCATCTTGATGGGTGAACTTGAGACTAACGGGCTCGGAGTTTTGCTTAATGGTTGGACTTTAATGGTTCCAATTGATGAAATCCAGGCCCTCAATTTGTCCATATCACATCAGGGAATTATTAATTTCACAACTGTCATTGAGACAATCAGAGGTTTTTTTAAGTGGAAACAAGCTGTTCCCAAAACGTTAAGACAATTATAGAAATTAAATTTAAGAACTCACAAACACACAAAACACATAAAAATTATATTTCTTAAATAATTTAAATAATTAAATGATAATTTTATTTTATTAAAAATAAAATATTTTAAATTTGAATTACTTAATTGTAATGTAAAATAAAAAATAAGAGAAATTTATCTTTTATTATACAACAAAAATAAAAAAATAAAAAATAAAAAA